AACAAAAAAAAGTTTTTTCTTTTCTTTTGGAGTGTTGAGGATGGAACCCAAGGCCTTGTGCATGCTAGGCAAGCACTGTACCCCTGAGCCACACGCCTGGCCCCCAGATATATGCTTTTTATTAGTAATGCTTTTATTTTTCTATGGTACCATGGATTGAATATAGGGCCTTTTTACTGACTTACGTCACCAGCCCTTTAAACTTCTTTTGAGACAGGCCTTGCTAAGTCATTATGCTTTTCAGGCTGACTTGCGATCCTCCTGCCTCAGCTCCCCAGAGGGCTGGGATTATGACACATTTCTTTTAAAATACATTAGAAAGTGCATAACTGATATTGTACATCAAAATGTGGCTTCTTGGGTAACATTGTTTAAGACAACGCTACACAAGGGGAAGGCGCTTCTCTTCCAAGAAATGACACCATGTGGGGAACAAGGGCACCGGCTTTGGAACTGGTCTTCTGCCCTCAGAGCCCAGCTCTGCCGTTCCCTGAATCTGTGGCTTTACTCATCTTGTCCATCTCTCTTTATTGTTTCTTATTGGAGAGGTATTCTGTCCACTTCATAGGGTTGTTATGAGGATCAGAGGGAGTCAGGACAGCTGGCCTTGTGAATCTGCAGGCTCTGTCTCCGCAGGTTCAACCAGCCACAGACGGAAGATGTGTGAAAAGGTTGCCGGCAGAGGTGATATGCACCTGTCATCCCAGCACTCAGGAGGCTGAGGCAGGAGGATCGCTGTGAATTCGAGACCAGCCTGGGCTTACATAGTGAGTTCCAGGTCAGTCTCAACTAAACAGTGAGACCCTGTCTCAAAAAAGCCAAATATAGGGCCAGGGATTTAGCTCAATAGTCCTGCCGCCTGACTCGCACGTGTAAGGACCTGAGTTTGATCCTTGGTACAAAAAACAAAACAAAACAAAACACACAAACCAAAAACCAAAAACCAAAAACCAAAAACCAAACCAAACAAAACAACCCAAACCCAAACCTATATATATATATTTGAAAAAATGAACTGGGTCTTTATTGACTATGTGCAGACTTCTTCCTTGTCATTGTTTCCTCAGCAATGTATATAATGAGTGCATTGCATTTATACTGTATTAGGTGTTACAAGTCCTCTAGAGAGGACTGGAAGTCTACAGGAGGAGGAGCATGGTTTGCACAAACACTACACCATTTTATAAAGGACTTGAACATCCGCAGATTTTGGTATCTGTGCAGGAGCCTGAACAAAGTTTCCCTTGGATACCAAGGGATGATTATCTACTTCATACTCAGGGTTGTTATATGGATAAAAACAGTAAATATAGGGTCGGGGATTTAGCTCAGCAGTTGGGTGGCCTGCCTTGCAAGCGCAAGGACGTGAGTTCAATCCCTGGTACCAAAAAAAACAAACAAAAAAACAAAAACAAAAAAACCCCAAAATAAAAAAACAGTAAATACTTTAAAAAATATTTTCGAGACAGGGTCTTGCTAAATTGTCCTTCAACCTGTGATCCCCCTGCAACAGCCACCCCAGTAACTGGAACTATAGGCATGGGCCACTATGTCAGGCTTCAGTGAATACTTTAAAAGTATTTTTTTTTTTCCTTTTGGTTGCAGGGATCAAACTCGGGTCCTTTTGCTTGCAAGGTAGATGGCAGAACCACTGAGCCAAATCCCCAGCTCTAAAAGTGTTTAAAATAATGGCTGGTACATGGTTTCTCACTGAGAGACCAAAGGTGAGGTGACTAAATGCAATGTAGGATTCTGGATGGGACTGTGGGACAGAAAACAAACAAACAAACAAACAAAGACAGTAACAGAAAAACTGGTGACGTTGAAATGAAGTTTATAATTTAGTTAATAGTAATGTGCTAATGTTGACTTCTTAGTTTGGACAAAGGTATCCTGGTTATTATAAGGCATTAACAAAGGTGCCAGGCGTGATGATGCAGGACTGTCTGCTGATGATGCAGCACTCAGGGGGCTGAGGCAGGAGGATTGCCAAGAGTTCAAGGCCAAGGGCTATATAGTGAGTTCAAGGTCAGCCTAAACTACATAGCAAGATGTTATCTCAAACAAAACAATACAAAACAAAAATAAAAGCAAAAACAATGGAGGAAGCTGAATGAAGGAAATATGGAAACTCTTGTTACTATTTTCACATTTTTTTCTGTAAAATTTGAACCTAAAATCATTCCACTCTTTTCTTTTCCTTTTTTTTCCTTATTGAGTTTATTGGTACATTTTAGGTATACAGTACAATTACATTCATCATTGGGATCTTGTACCTTTACCTGACAGGTCTTGGTTCTCATTTTTTCCTCCATTGTTTTCAAACGTTTATACTAAGGACTGGAGATTTGGCTCAGTGGCACAGTACCTGCCTTGCAAGTGCAAGGCCCTGAGTTTGATCTCCGGTACTGGCAAAAAATAAGTCTATACGGAGGAGGTGGAGGCAGGAGGATCCCAAGTTCAAGTCCCATCTAGGCAATTTAGAGACCCTGTGTCAAAATAAAAAGAGGCTGCGGGTACAGCTTAGTGGTAGAGTGCTCTCCAGCAATGAAAATAATAAAAGTTTAGGAGAAGGCTGGGAATGTAGCTCAGTGGTGCTGTGCCTGCCTGGCAAGTGCAAGGTCTTGAGTTTGATCGCTGGTACCAGAAAAGAAAAAGTTTAGGGGACAGGGAGAGGGAGAGGGAGGAAGGGAGAGGGGGAGAGAAAGGAGGGAGAGAAAGAGGATATGGTCAAGGTTATGAATGTGAAGTTCCAATAGGTTAAGTTCAAGACAGTGAGTGCAGCAGGTCCCCACCTGCAGTCCGTAGGGGGCTACATAGCAAGACACTGCCACGTACTGTGTGCGTGTATACACAGGGCCGGGGGGCGGGAGGGCTTTTGGAGACCTTGTGCTAAGGCCTATTTGGTTGATTATAACCTGGCTCCAGGATGATGGACATGGGTTCTACAATGAGATGAGTTTCAGCTACACCTGAGTCTAAGAGGCTCACGATAAGAGGGGCAAAGTTCACTATCTTGCCTTGAAATTTGCAATCCTTGTTTTAAAAGTGAAGTCTCTGGATAAGAGGAAGCTAGGAGGGTCAGGAATTTTTGTTTGCTGCTGGTGTGGGCCAGCAATCACCGATCCATTTAGCGAAGCTGGATGAATATGCCTTGTACCAAGCTCTGGTCTTAGGCTGCATCTCCTGGATGGGAACTAAGCAAGTTTGCGATGTTTGACGGATGATCCAGTAGGAGAGTGGGAAGACTTTGGAGATGAAGGGGACTGTTGGGATAGGGAGATCATTTTCCAGGAACTGGACAGCTGGAATACTGTGACGGATGAAGGGTGTGGTATCAAGCAAGTTCCTGTGTAGAAGCACATCTGTGAACTGTCCCATCTGGGCCAAGAGACCCAGCTATTTAGCCACCGATGTCCTGGATTGAGGGCTGCTCTAAGGGAGGGAGACATGAAGTCCTCAGCCCTCTGGCTCACTGCCCTGCTGAGTAAAATTGGCTCTGGTTGGCAGAGAGATTCAACAAGAGATGCAGGCGCTGCAGCTAGGAGGTAGGTGTGAGGGGATGAGTGGACCCAAAAGCTACAACTTTTGATAGGCATGGGGAAGCCAGACATGGCTCAAACACAGTCTTCATTTTTGGGGTGCTCCCAGGTTGCTCTGCCTCAGTTCCCCTTCTGCCTCTACCACTTACAAGCTGTGTGATCTTGGGTAACAACTCTGTGTTCCAGTTTCCTCACCTGTAAAATGAGCATAGTCAGGCTTCCCTACAGGAGTGTCGTCAGGATTAAGTGAGCTAATAAGTGAAAAATGCATGAAACTTTCGCTGCTTTTCCTCTCACTACTGGGAAAGTGAACCTAGGGCCTATGACTGAGCTACATCCCTCACCAGCCTTTTAAAGTTTTTATTTTACTTTTTATTTTTTTGGTACCGGGGATCGAACTCTAAAGTTTTTATTTTGAGACAGGACCTACCTTAGTCCCTAATTTGCCCAGGCGGGACTTGAGCCTGCAATCTTCCTGCCTCACTCAGCCTTTCGCAGTGCTGGGATGACAGGTGTGTACCACCAGGCCGGGCTCAGCCTCTCGCATGTAATACATGCTTGACCAAAAAGTAATAAACACTATTTCATATTGGCTTTGGGAGTTTAACCGATCCTGGAAGGCCCTTCTAGAAAGTTTATGTTTTATCCTGTTAATTATGGGTCCTCACTAAACAGTGCCAGGCAGGGGTGACGCCCTCAGACTGCTCTGGAGGGTGGGGTTGGATGAGAAAAAGGAGGGGGAGCAACCGATTTGGAGACTGTTGGAACAATCCAGAACAGTTCCCAAGGAGTGGCCCGTTTAGACTGGGTTCAAGAGAAAATCGGAGACTCATTTGAGTATAGATAACTCAGGGAGGCTATCGCTAGAAACAAGCGGGCGCTCGCTGCAAGAACGACTCCTCTTTTCCTAACAGGGAGATCATTTTCCAGGAACTGGACAGCTGGAATACTGTTAAACGCAGACTGGAACCGGCACCCACGGGTTTCCAAGAGCCTGATCACTGCACCTGAAGAAAGAGAAAATCCCTGGTGCACGAGGGGGCGGGGCCAGCGGGCGGGGGAGTGGCTACGGACGAGAGCGCCGCTTTCAGGGAACGAGTTCCCCGATGCTGGACTCTGGGTGGCTGTCACGCCTAGCAATATGGCTCAGCCGGTGTGGAAAGCGAGCTGCGCTCGGCGGGGCCAGAAGCTAACCATCTGCAATATGGGGCTAATGGACGTCTGTGGAAGGCGGGCCTGCGAGGGTCTTGGCTAATGGGAGACACCAAGGGCCAAGGCCTCTAGATGAAAAATGGAGGGGGCGCGAGTCTGCAGCGCAAGCCAATGAGAGGCGAGGAGAGGCGGCCGACACAGGGCTCTTACGGGTGATCTCCGGAGCGTGGTTCCGGTTCTGCGCACGCGCATCGGGCCGGCTACGGGTGCCGCAGGGCCAAACGGGAGAAAGGAGCCGGGGCGCACGCCTGGGTCACGTGGCACAGAGGGCGCCGAATTCCGCCGGAGTCAGGGCTGTATCTTGTAGGTGAAGGTTGAGGGACCCTAGAGGTCGATCCGTCGCTGGAGAAGCATCCCGATGCTCTCTGATCTCAGCTCCTGGCTTGGGGTGGAGAGTCAAGCGCGGGCTCCGGACTCTGCAGGGAAGCGTGGCTTGGGCAGAGGGTTGCACTCGCCGGGGGGGGCGTGGCTCCGTGCTACAGGGTGACGCCGTGGGGCGGGCTCACCACTGGGGCCGAGATTCTGGGCCCTGTGTAAGCGGGGGGCGGGGCTTCCCCATAGATCGACAGACAGGTACGTGCTAAAAAAATACTTTGTTTTGGTGCCGTCCTCCTTGCGTTTACTCGCGGTGGCCTAATTTGACTGTGACATAACTAGGTGGGGCGTATTAGGATCTTTCCCCAACCCCGGTAAGAGCCCTGTCTCTACTGGCCGCTTCGTGTGCAGCTCCCGCCTCCCCTCTTCTGTCGTTGCTCTTATCGCAGGCCTCGGGACCCCACCTTCGGGGGGCGTGGCCTGGCCTTGGGCGGCCCCGCTGGCTAGCGTGTGGGCGTGGCTTGGCAGAGTTGGGGGCGAGGCCTGCGGAAGCTCCCGGCAAGGGGCGGGATCCAAGGCTCGTGGAATAGGGGACGCGCTTTCTTCCGGAGTAGAAGCTGTGCTGGCCCCAGTATTAGCACTGTGCTTTCTCCTTTAGGTGCTCCCTCATGGACACTCCCCCAGCCGCCGCCGCCGCCGCCGCCGTCACCCCAGCGGAGGGCTCCTTCCCCTCGTTCCTGCTTCTGGCATGTGGGACGCTGGTGGCTGCCCTGCTGATGGCTGCTCACAGACTGGGGCTTTTCTATCAGCTGATGCACAAGGTGCCAGGGCCCTGGCGGGAGGCCGGCCGAGGGCTGACAAAGAAGGAGGGATCTTAGGGCGCTTCTTCCGGCTGGCTCATTCTACAGGTGGGGAAAGCGAGTCCCGACTAGTCTAGAGTGGTTGGCTGGGAGCTTCTATGCAGGGCTTTGTCCTCATTGCCAAGCTGTGCACGGGCCCTGGACTTTGCCACTACTCAGAGATAAGGGAGCCAACCCCTGCCTGACAAGTCACACTTGCCTACTTCTTTACCCCTGGGTTTGAATTCTTTTGCCGAGTAGAGACAGCACTAGAATTGTGCTTCCTAAATCCAGTGGGATCAGGGAGCTGAAGCGAAGGCTGCAGGAAGCGGGGTGGCTGTGACAGTTCTCCACTGCCAAGCTTAACGCTTCAGAGGGATTTGCTTCCATATCCCTTACCACCTCCCTGAAAGTGTTTGCTGCTGTTTCTGTGCACATTTCCACAAAAGGAGTGTGAGGCCCAGAGGGCTTGTTCAGCAGTCTGCTGCCGGTGACCTGTTTGGCCAGAACGGTCGTTTCGCAGTTTGCCCCAGGTGTTCTATTTGGGAACAGCTGACCTCACAGGTCCCCGAACTGCTTGCTCCTCTGTCAGAAATTTACCTGTTCCCAGACCCTCTTCTCCAGTCCTCTTCCCCTTCTAGCCAAGAGCAATGCTGCTGACCTGGAGATGTGTGGAGATTTCAGGCTGTGTGGATGATGGGCCTAAGGGTTCACGCAGTTTGTGTGGGCAGGTGCCGGCCATGTGTGGATCCAGACCTGCTCAGTAGTGTTGGGAGGGAGCCAGGTGGGCTGGAATCCGCAGTCCAGGTACCAGGCCCTGCAGGGATAGTGCAGAACAGGAAGGAGGCCAGCCGGTAGCCTCCTGGCCCTCGCCCAACTCCCCTGCCTTCTTTTCCTATCCTTTCCTGGCAGTTAAGAATGGACTTTGAATCTTTCCTGGGCAAGTCTTGGTATCCTTACCTGTATAAGACATATAAAGACAAGAGGCTTTGATAAAATGATATGCTCTCCTCTGGGCCTAATCTGTAGTTTGGTGTGTATTTAATCATTTAATCAACACCCAAGTTCCTCTGACTTCTGTTTCTTTTTTTGTCCCTCTCCCAGCTGCTTGTGCACTGGCCCTTAACAGTGTTTTTAGTTTTGATCAAGCCCAGGGACGCTTTACCACTGAGCCGTATCCCGGCTCTTTTTATTTATTTTGAGACAGGGTCTCACTAAGTTGCCCTCATGGGACTCAAACTTGAGATCCTGCTTGGCCTCCCTTAATCTTGGGATTATTGTGCTTGGCATCTTCAGCATTTTGCTTTTCTCTCCCCTGGCCCAGGTGGACGAGGCGAGTGTCTGGCATGGTGGGGAGAATGTGGCAGCTGTGCTGAAGGCCCATGGTGTGCGGTTTGTCTTCACACTGGTCGGCGGGCACATTTCGTCAGTACTGGTGGCCTGCGAGAAGCTGGGCATCCGCGTGGTGGACACACGCCACGAGGTCACAGCTGTTTTTGCTGCGGATGCTGTGGCTCGCCTATCAGGTGAGGGCTGGAGGGACAGTGGCAGAGGTTTCCGAGAGTGAGAGGCAGGGGCTCTGGGGGGCTAGGAGGATGGCAGGGAGGGTGGGCATGGCCATGACGGGGTGTGTTCCAGGGACTGTGGGCGTGGCGGCAGTGACAGCAGGACCTGGTCTCACCAACACGGTGACTGCAGTGAAGAATGCTCAGGTGGCGCAGTCCCCGATCCTGCTTCTAGGTGGAGCGGCTAGTACCCTTCTGCAGGTGCCCAGTATCTGTGGGATGGTGGGGGCCCCAGGAAGGCTCCAGGGGCTCCCATGGTAACTGTCCTACCTTGTTGCTACCAGAAACGGGGTGCGCTCCAGGCCATCGATCAGATGTCCCTGTTCCGGCCGCTTTGCAAGTTCTGTGCATCTGTGAGGAGAGTGCGGGACATTGTGCCCACTCTGAGGGCTGCGATGGCTGCTGCCCAGTCGGGTACCCCAGGTAGGTGGGGCAGGGAGCTGGGCAGTGGTCAGGAGCTGAGCGCCGGGCTCCAGGCTCAAATTCCTCTCTCTCTTCACAGGTCCTGTGTTTGTGGAGCTGCCTGTTGATGTACTGTACCCCTACTTTATGGTCCAGAAGGAGGTGGTGCCAGCCATTCCACCAAAGGGCCTCATGGGTCGTGTGACGACCTGGTGAATGATACCGTTCCTAAAGCGCTCTCTTCTGTCTCCTGCTGTCTGCTGCAGGCTTTTCTCTCTGCACACCCAACCTCCTTTGACTCATTCACTGGTTTGCACATGGCCCTAGAGGGGTCGGCTGAGGGGAGAGCAATCTAAGTGAAAGGAACAGCATGCTCAAAGGTCCTGAGGCAGGAACAAACTTGCTGGGTTGGAAAAGCAAGGTGTGGCCTTTGTGTCAGCATCTGAGCGGGGGCTGAGCCTAGAGTAGCTCCTTTGCTTATTTTTGCTCTTCCCCTTCCAAATATTTTCTAAGCCCCAGTGATGTACCAAGTCCTAGGACAGGCCTGGGGTGACCCTGATGGACAAGACAGGTCCCTGTGTTCTGGGTGTGTGAAAAGTGCTTGGAGGGCCGGCTTGAGCAGTAGTGATTTTGTTCTATGGCCTTGTTCTTAATGTTTTGCTCCCTAGCCCTCTGGTCACCTCTCCTCTTCTCTTCTTGTTCTCTCTTCCTCTCTATCGCCGTCCTTTGCAAAGCTGGTTCTTTCCTCCCTTTAAACTGTGGGACCCACAGTTCTGTCTTTGACTTCGTCTCCCTTTCTGCAGTCCTGACTCTTCAACAGATAAAGCAGGATTCTGGGTCTGAGCCCTGACTGCTTCTTGCCCTTGCTCCTGGGCCTCCTTCTAGCTGGACTGACTGTTCGTTGAGGGCAAGGCCTGGATAAGATTTCTCTGTATGTCTCCGGGGGGTACTCAAGGCCCTTGGCCTAGTGAATGAGCAGGAGCCAGGGAGGACAATGTTAGTAACTCCCATGGGTTGAGTGTTTTGCAAGAGTGCCTTATTACTTAAGTGGACAGAGAGTGAAAGCTTGGGACAGAGTTGAGGCCCAGGCTCATGTGCCTGACCTGTGGGCACCTGGGCTTGAGCTGCTTGTGCTGTACAGGGTGTGTCAAATTGTCATGGCCTCCAGAGGCTTCTGGGGCAAACAGGTAGCTGGAAACTTGGCTGCTTGGTGCCTGTAGGTCAGTGGTGGTGAACTTATGGTGCGTGTGCCACACCCTGCTTTGTGTTATCATTGAAAGCTCTAAAAAGTTTGTCATCGCTGCTCTACGTCTGCTTTACTCTGTTCCTTTCTCCTTTGCTTCCAGCCCCTTCCTAACCCCTGGCTTTCCTTAGCTCCCAGAATCCTGCTAATTTGGCTCCTTCCTCTTTTCCTGCAGGTATTTACAGAATTGCCTGGCTAACCTCTTTGCAGGCGCATGGGAGCCTCAGCCTGAGGGGCCCCTGCCCCTGGATATCCCCCAGGCATCCCCTCTGCAGGTAAATCACCCTCCCTCCCCTGGCCTAGGTCTCCCACCTGGATGGGACCCACAGACCCTCTCTCTGAGCCAGCATAGGGGGCTGACAGTGACTCAAGGATGACCATTTGAACCCCAACTCTTGCACCAGGTTCAGTGCTGTGTGGAGATCCTGAGCAGGGCTAAGAGGCCCCTGCTGTTGCTGGGCAGCCAGGCTCTGTTGCCCCCAACGCCCCCCAACAAGCTTCGGTGAGGAGCCCCAGCCCTAACGCTGGCCGCGTCCCTGGTCCCTGCTCTTCTGGTGCCCTGCAGGGAGCGGGCAGGCCCTTGGCCACACTGACGTCTGCTCTGCCTGGATGTTCAGGGCTGCCGTGGAGACCCTAGGTGTCCCTTGCTTCCTGGGGGGAATGGCTCGAGGGCTGCTGGGTCGCAGTCACCCCCTCCACATCCGGCAGAACCGCAGCGCAGCCCTGAAGAAGGCGGATGTGGTCATCTTGGCAGGTGGGCCTCAGCCTCTCCCTCTCTCTGAGAGCCCCTCCCCACTGGGACCGCACCCCTCCTCTTCCCTGGCGCCCCGTCATCCTGTCACTACCATCGCTCTCCTGCCTTCATCTCCTTTCCATTTCTCTGGCTTGGAACAACTCTGAACTTGAAGTGAACCAGGTGTGACTCAACTTACTCCCGAGAACAATGCCTTGCGGGTGCCTGCTGTGTGTCACCCACATTTTCACATAAAGTTCTTTGAATCCTGATGAAGGCATAATAGGCATATCACTTCGGGCGCCCTCCCCCATACAAGGGATGGAACCCTTACCACTGAGCTACGTCCCAACCCTTTTTATTTTTTATTTTGAGACAAGGTCTCACTAAGTCCCCAAGTTGCCCAGGTTGGGCTCAAACTTGGGTTCCTCCTGCCTCAGCCTCCCAAGGTGCTGAGATGACAGCTGTGCACCGCGTGTGACTGAGGTCTTGTTGTAGACAGTCACGCATTGCTTAGTGACTGGCATATGTGTTCAGAGAAATGTGTCATTAGGTCATTGTGTTGCCAGGTGAACAGTCACCAAATATAAACCAAGGTGGCTGCAATGTCACGAGGCAGTGTTGTTACACGGGACCAGTTGTGTATGTCTGTTGTTGGCCGAAATGTGCTTATGCGATGCAAGACGTAATAACCATCCCCAAACTCAAAGGCATAGGATGCTTTTGGTTTCTTAACATGTAGGGCTGGGGTTTCAGCTTAGTGGTGCGTGCTTGTTTCGCATGGCCAAGGCTCTGGGTTCCATTCCCAGCACTTTGGATTTGGCTGGACTTTTCATGAGTCCAGAGTCAAGTCAGCAGGGAGGCCTGCTGTGTGCTCTGGGTGAGCCTGGGGCTCCCATGCCTGTTTGGGTTCTGCTGGCCCTGTAGGGTCTAGAATGCTTCAGCCAAGTTTCCGCCTGCACCCAGGGCCCACTGTGTTCTGCATCCTCAAGCAGGCCAGGCTGGGCTGGGTCACTTGGAGGATGAGAAACAAAACTTCCCCTCCCTCCCTCCTTTCCATCACTTTTTTTGAAGTGCTGGGGATGGAACTCAGGGCCTCACACGTGCCAGGCAAGTGCTATACGCTGAGCGGCACCCCCAGCTTTTGAAGCCTCTTGAAATGTGTTCTGAGGAGTGAGAGACCATTGCTTCTGCCACACCTTGTGACAAGTGCTACTCCGGAGGTCAGCCCTGATTGGAGAGCTGCAGGGTCATTGCAGAAAGCACAGGGACCCTTTTATAGTCAGTAGCAGTGGATCAGAAGTGAGGTAGTTGGGCGTTGTCCAGGATGCTGGGCTTCTGTGTACTGATGCCCTGTCCCTTACCCCAGGAACCGTGTGTGACTTCCGCCTCTCTTATGGCCGTGTCCTGAGCCGCCGCAGCAAGATCATCATCATCAATCGGAGCCGGGAGGAGATGTTGCTGAACTCGGACATCTTCTGGAAGCCCCAGGAGGCCGTGCAGGGTGAGCTCTGCAGCGGTCCCTCTCCTGGCTTTTTCTGCAGCTGCCTTGAGTTGGGTGTCAGAGGTGAAGGCCCAGGCCCTGCCCCTGAGATAACCAGAGACACATACTTGGCTCTCAGACTCATGGGTGCCTTTGTAGATGGGAGGAGGGCAGGAAGGAATGTGCACATGGTCACATGCGCAGGGATAGAGCCTACCACATTGCCCACTGCCCTTAGGACAGAGAGCTCACTCCTTAGCCCCTGAGATTTTCTGTCATCCTCTCTCTCCTGATTTCAGTCCCTTCCCATGCCCTACTTCGCAGATGGGTTAAGCAGAGAAGAAGTGGCATTTTTGTGTTCGTCTGCCCAGAGCTGGTGGGCAGCAGGCTGGAAGGGGGACAGGCAGAGGCCGGGTGGGGCTACTGAAAAGGGCCAGGACAGCAATGGCAGAGCCTAGAGTTGGGTTGGACTGGGTGAGAAAATGAATGTCTCTGAGCTTCCACTTGACCATTTCTCAAGTGGGATGGTGAGAAACCTCTTGGGCTGCTTACTCCTTCACTGCACTGATTAAAGCTCAGTCCTCCTAGTAGATGCCTGTGTTTCAGGCACCTGCTTGATGGTTGGAGCAGGTGTTCTTGTTTTCAGTCATGTGGATGTGAGGCAAGTGCTGCACCACTGAGCTCCTTCCCCAGCCCACAGTGGAGCTGTTTTATTATTTAAAAATGTTTTTTTCCCCATTGAGTTTATTGGTACATTTTAGGTACACAGTACAGTTACATTCATCATTGGGATCTTGTACCTTTACCTGACAGGTCTTGGTTCTCATTTTTTCACCTTGTCCCTACCCTCCCTTGTGGAGCTGTTTTAATCAGTGCATTTTGGAGGCTGACTCGATAGGACTGCATGATGCAAAGTGTGAGGGGCAGTGGGATCACGGATCCTCCTTGGCATTGTAATTCTGTACTCTCTGAATCTCATTTCCCTGGCCTTGCTTTCCTCTTTGGCAGACTGTCCTTCTCCGGTGCTGGCAGGCCCTGGGGTGCCTTTCACCCGGTTTGCCCTGGCAGCACTCCTGGCCCGCCTCCATCCCTTCTGCTTGGATGTTGCTGTTGGCTTCTTGCTGTCTTCTGGCCTCTGGCACTGGGAGGGCAGGAGGAAGCCACTGCTCTGCAGCTGTGGCCTCTTCTTCTACCAGGTGATGTGGGCTCCTTCATGCTGAAGCTGGTGGAAGGCCTTCAGGGCCAGACGTGGGCCACTGACTGGCTGGAGGAGCTGCGCGAAGCTGACCGGCAGAAGGAGCAGACCTATCGGTGGGTTTTAGGTGGGTGGAATGGGCAGGGGCTTTCCCAGCAGGCTCTTTGGCTGGCCCTGCTGACCTTCACCAACCTGTTTCAGGGAGAAGGCAGTGAGGTCTGTAGCCCAGCACCTGAACCCAGTGCGGGTGCTGCAGCTGGTGGAGGAAATTCTGCCCGACAACTCACTTCTTGTGGTTGATGGTGGAGACTTTGTGGCCACTGCTGCATACCTCATACGGCCCCGTGGCCCTCTGCGCTGGCTCGATCCTGGTAAGGAAGGACCCACACCCCAAGCAGCTTTCACTGTCTGAACTCTTCACAGTTAGCTCTTCTTTGTCTTTCTAGGGGCCTTTGGGACTCTGGGAGTTGGTGCAGGGTTTGCACTTGGGGCCAAGTTGTGCCAGCCGGATGCTGAGGTGAGGCCCCGGATGTGGGAGTCTTGCTGCCTTCTGGGCCATGAACCACTCTAACCCTCCTGGGTCCTCCTCTACCAGGTCTGGTGCCTGTTTGGGGATGGAGCCTTTGGCTATAGCCTCATCGAGTTTGACACGTTCGTCAGACACAAGGTGACCCGGCTGCCCTGAGGGAAGCTTGGAGCCTGGGGTTTTGGGAGATGTCAAGAACTCTGAGGTGGAGTGACACCGTCTATCAGCTGGAGGCCTTGTCCTTTGGCTGGCCAGGCCTTTGGGCTGAAGGCTGTGGCCCGGCTCATCTTTTTCTACAGATCCCTGTAATAGCCTTGATAGGGAATGATGCAGGCTGGACCCAGATTTCCCGGGAGCAGGTGCCCAGACTGGGCAGCAACGTGGCCTGTGGCCTGGCATATACTGGTGAGGGGTCTTGGCAGGGTGTGTGTGGGTGGAAATGGCAGGTTGTTTGGGGGCCCAGCTGGGTTTATGTTCCTCTCTTGGGCTGGCTACAGGGTGGGCTGGGTCTGACTTGATCTCCTCTTTTAGATTATCACAAGGCAGCCATAGGTCTGGGGACCCGGGGCCTGCTGCTCTCACGGGAGAATGAGGACCAGGTGGTCAAGGTGCTGTGTGATGGCCAGCAGCAGTGCCGAGATGGCCACCCGGTTGTGGTCAACATCCTCATCGGGAGGACAGACTTCCGCGATGGCTCCATTTCCGTATAGGGCCACATGGATTAGTATGCTTGGCTCCCTTATCTGTGGACTGTGCCTGGCTGGCTTGGAATCTCATCCTCTGGCTGGGGAATTTAGCTCAGTGGTGCCACCGCCTGCCTAAGCACAAGGTCTTGAGTTCAATTCCGGGTACAAAAGAAAAAAGCAGTCTCATTCTTGCACTGGACCTATTCCATGTAGTCCAGTGACCTCACAATCCTGAGGTTGTGCTCCAAGAGGCACCGTGGCAGCCCTGGAGATCTATGGGCCTTGGTCTCCTTTCTGCTCTTATAGACCAAATAAACCACTTCTGTCCCGTGGGCCCAAGGATTCAGTCACAAAACCTGTGCATATTGATTTATTGTCAATAAAAGAAGGAAACAGGAAGGGGACCCTATTCTCCCAGTGGATTACTGGGAGTTTTGGGGTACCTGGTAGGGTGAAATCTTTCCCCCTCTGTGGTCCCTGGAAGAATCCCACAACCCACGCTCCAGATGGGTCCATGCACACCAGTTCACACACACACACACACACACACACACACACACACACTCGCACACACACGCAAGGAAGCAATAAATAGGTTCCGTACCAAAGTGCCCCAGCCTGACATTTCAGCCAGGGACCCTCTGAAACAGAGGGGCTAAGTGCTCAATTTTTTTAGGAGTAGAGACGGGGAGGAGAGGGAGGCAAGGCCAGACTCTGTCATCTCCATTGGCTGGTTGGAGGCCTATCATGGTTCTTCCCTGGAAAAGAGGGTGGGGGAACCAGCTGTTTTTCTACAATCCGCAGGCTGCCCCTATCCAGCTGGAGCCCAGGATAGGGGCTGCTTGTCCTCAAACAGTATCTCACGATAGTCCTTGGGTCCTCCAAGGGAGGGAGAAACAGAGTGCAGTGCTCAAAGCTAATACTGATTTGGTTGGCAGCAGCAAGAGGACTAAGGGGTGTCTCAGACCCCCAGAGTGATGCTCACAGTAACTGGTGTATACCCCAGCAAAGGGGTGGCAAGAGAGGCCAGCCTAGCAAGCAGAACTGCCTTCTGGCAACAAGAGGCATAGTCCTGGCGCTAAAGAAAGATGGCCACAACAGCTAGTCCCTAAAATCCCGTGCCTGGCCTTTGCAACTAGTGCCCAAATAAATGGCACAGAAAATTGGGATGACTTTTAGCCTAGGAGGCTGGTCCCTTGGCAACTCTCCTAGCAGCCAGGAGCTCGGCCTATGCAACACTGGTCCTCCTAGGTTACTAAGGGCCCTGCCTTAGTAACCAGGGTCCTGCCCTGCTGCACGGGTTCAGAGGCACACGTTTAATTGCTTAGAGAGCTCTCTGTCCAGGTCCAGGATGAGGGCGTCAAAGTCTTTAAGATTCAGGTGCGGATTGAAGGGCGCATCAAACACGTCTTCGAAGTCGGCAGCGCCTCTCTGCTCGTCTGCCTCGTCGTCGTCCTCATCGCTGTGGCTGCCTGTCACGTGGTCATAGTCAGGCCCGGACAGGAAGTCCCGCCCACAGGACAGAAAGTCCCGTCCGCAAACGCTCCAGTCTCCAGCGTAACGGTTGCTTGGGGGGCTCTCTGGACCTCCGCGGCCTCGGGGCCGAGTCACCACCTCAGGACTCGTTAGCGGCAAGTGCAGGGACGGCTGTCGTTTGGGCCGCAAGTATGGTGCGACGTCTGGAGCCTCTGGGGACTGGCGGGGAGCTGAGGGAGGAGAGGGAGCGCTTGTGATGACGCCACACACAACTAGGCCCCTGGTTGGCTTTTGGGCAGGCCAGACCTGGGACAGGATTTCACTGCTAAGGGCCGAATTGGTTGCTTAGACAGCTAGGCTTCTGAGTGGTACGTTGAGAGGCGGGGCCTCTGGCCGCATCAACGGTTGATTGGTCAGGTCGCTGGCTTATCAGAGGGGGCTGGCCTGCTTTAACCAGACTCTGGGCGCTAGCGAAGGTGTCGCCTGCCTGGATTGGAGGCCCAGGCCACGGACAGGCTCACCTGGCCAAGATTGCAGTAGGTAGTGTAACACTTCGATGTGGCGCTTGAAGTCCACTGCACTGGTGACTCCTGTGCCACAACTGCGGATGCGGGGCCGGACGGATGCCTGGCGCGCCGGCAGCAGCACGGGCCCGAAGCACACGGCCAAGTTCTGCGGTGTCATGCGGTTGTGAGCGTGGAAGGAGGAGACGAGGCGTAGGTGGTCCAGGAGAAGCGTCAGCGTGGCCTGTGGGAGAGGGTTGTGAGGGGAAGGTGGGCGTGAGGCATGCATAGTCGGGGCCCTGCTGCACCTGCGGGAGACTAACGTGACCCAGAGTGAGGAAACTGAGGTTTCAGGTCTCACAGCTGGAAGGTGGCTGAGCTATTAGCACGATCCCATTTAACTAGAAGACACACTGAGGCTAAGGGCAACTTAGCTTTGGAATGGCAGGGCCGAGATTCCATCCCACTCCTCTGTGAGTTAGGCAGGGTTGAATCGCATTTCACAGGAAAAGGAATTGAGGGACGGAGAGGGAAAAGGGCTTAAGATCCCACAGCCAGGAATTTCCCTTGTGGTAGCTTGGCAGACCTGTGTTGAGAATCTGCTTTTTTGACATATCCTGGCTATGCCACCTTGGGCAGCTGCTCTGGGCCTCGGTTTCCTGATCTACAAATGGAGGTACCAGTAGCACCTGCTTTGTAAGGATGTGATGGTCCCATAAGTTCATGCCTATTTCAGGACCAGGTAGGGGTGAAGTGCTCTTCTGGTAGTGCTCACCCCATTTCCCAGGGCCAACTCACCTTTTCTACATCTGGCAGGCAGCTGAGGAGCCCTCGGGTGCCCTCAGGACTTGGAGGAAGTCTGCTCAGGGGCCCTTGGGCCATGGCCTCCAGGACCACCTGATAGAGGGGCTGGGTGATGAGAGGGGTGGGCAACTCTCGAAGGTAATCCTTGAGGATGCCTGTGGACACAGGACACCTATGATCGGGGCATCCATGGTCTCCAAGACCAGAGGGTTCCCTGGCACTGGGAGTAGGGGGGAAGAAGAGGAGGACAGGTGCAGGAAAGTGCAAGCAAGGTAAGACCAGTGGGGTCCGTAGGGCCACCAGCCCAGCTTGAGCTGAGCGTTGAAAGATGAGCCCGCAGAGGTGATGGGGGTCATGCTGACCTGTGATGACGTTGATATCAGGGTATAAGTCCTCAGAGAGGCAGACAGCCGCACTGTCCTGCTCAAAGGCATCCCGAAGCTCTTTCTTCACTGCTGCTGAGCCACACAGACGGTACAAGCCCACTACCTAGGGGTGGGGACAGAGGGGGTCTTGTCTGGGCTAAACACTAATCAGGGCCGACTGTGGGGCCTGGAGGTCTGGCCAGGAAAGTGACACTGTGGGCTGGGAGGGTGGCATTGGCTGTAAGAAGCCTCCTGTGATTACACTTCTGCTCCTGCGACACCTGCCATTGCATCCCCATCCTGGCTGCCTGGATGTGGCCTTGTAAACTTCTGCTCGCACTGTTTCCTCTGGCTTCTCAGATCGCTTATCTCGTCCTCTTCCAGGAAACCTTCCCTGACCACCCCAGCCATGTCAGGTCCTCCCTTAAGCTCTTGCAGACCCTGGGTTCTTCCCAACTTTTTCTTTTCTTTCTTTCATTGTTTTTTGGAACAGGTTCTCACTATGTACTTCAGGCTGGTCTTGAACTTCATACTCACTGTACTCCTCCTGCCTCAGCCTCCCACGTACTGGGATTATAGGTGTGCTTCATCATGCCCCAGCCACCTTTATATTTGTGACCTATTAGAGAATCCTGTCTTTGTCCCAGGAGACTCAGCTCCAGGAGGGCCCAGGTCCTGTTATTTATTTATTTATTTGGTACCAGGGATTGAACTCGGGTCCTTGCCCTTGCGAGGCAGGCCACCGAACCGCTGAGCTAAATCCCCGGCCCATCCAGGTCCTGTTATTAAATGGATGGATGAACCCTGGGTTCTGTGATCTGAGGGGAGAGGTCTCCTGCCTGTCTAGGCTGGCTGGGGGTTTGAGTTATGAGTAGCCGAGGTTGGTTGGAGGTCTGGTGTCCACACACTTGAGGTGCTTGGGGGGGTGGATCTCAATTGTGGGGGCCAGCAGGGAGGGGAGAGGGGCTCACCCGCAGCCCTCGGCGCTCGATCTGTGCAACACACTTCTGGATGATGAGAGGCACCCGGCCTGGGGGTTGCTCCCGCTCTACCAGCAGTGGCAGGGGCAGCCCGAAGACACGGGGCTCAGCCGTGGCAGATGCTTCTTGCTGGTCTGACAGGGTCAGCTTGGCATAGAGCAGCCCCTGGGGCTCCAGGCGGATGGCCAGCTGCTGGGCCTGGCAGCCTGAGGACACAAGAGGATCTGGGTCACGTGTGTCCCAAAGGTTCTTGGGTCTTGGCCCTTCCTAGTCCAGGACATAGCTTTTCCCTAGAGCCCAGCCCCCTGGCTACTTTCAGGGTAGGGGCACCCTGGGCTGGGTGCTGTACCCTGTCCCTCCTGCTCTAAATCCCACGTCTTACCTCGAAAGACTGTGGGCAGCAGCACAGTGCCCTGGGCACAGGGCCTGTGCCGCCTCACGCCGGGGTCCCAAGCAAGCACCAGGGCCCGCAGTAGCCGGGCGGCCTCCAGCTCCAGGTGGAAGGTGTGGTCCAGCTGCAGGAAGTCCGGCCCTCCTCGCAGGGGTCCTGTGTGGGCCCTCGCTACCCCATCCACTTGCAGCAAGCAGCAGAGGTCTCTCGGGGTGGCGCCTGGTGTTGGTCGCAGTCCTCTGAGCCCATATAGGTGCAGGCTGAGGCGGCCCCAGAGTGCAGCCGGCAGCACCCGGGCCGCTGGGCCTGCTTCATAGGGCTGAAAGGCAGCAGGTGAGGGGGGGCCCGCTGGGCACTCGGGGGAGTCTCTGTCATTGAAGTACCCGGCCCTGGCGCTCTGAGTGCACCCGGCTGCTGCCCTCGTCCTGGGGGCCCCCACACTGCTGTCCAGGTGGTAGCGGGTGATGACAGATCCCTCTGGGGCCGTCCTCTCGCGCTCCCGGCCAGCTCTGGGCCCGCGCAGGCTCAGGCGGCGCCGCAGCTCAGGCAGCTTCTTCATCTTCATAGAGAGGCGTCTGGCGGGGCCTGGGGACTTGGTGCGGGAGGTTTTGGTTGGGGGGCTGGCAGGGGCTGCACCTGCGGTGAGAACAGACTTTAGGGTTCAGAGCCTGGGCCCAGGGTGGGAGTGAGGCTGTGACCATTGGGGTGGGGGTGTGTGTGGAGTTGAATGTAGTAATCAGGGTGACACTTGTACCTACCTTGGTGGGTTGGGCTCTCTGGCTCAGCAGAGCCTGGTTGTGGCCTCAATGGCTCAGGTGCTGGGGGTCTGGGGTCTTCCTCAGGGATGGGGTTGTACCAGATCTCACCAGCGGGTTCCCCACTGCTCGGTATCCCTGGCCCCAGAGGCGCCTCCTCAGGTGGCTTGGCCCCTCCCAGCACCCATCGGCGGCTGCTGGGCTCCAGGCTTTGCAGGTACACCCCCCGGGCAGGGCTCCGAGGTGCCTCAGGGCTGAGGGGCCCCTCTGCTCCAGCCTGGCACCCTTCAAGGGCCTGGGGCTCTGGTGGGCTGGGCTCTGGGTGCTGGGCTGGGCGGCCTGGTGGAGAGCAAAGCGAGTGAGATGCAGCCTCCCAGAAGGGCTCTTCTGAGGTCAGTTTAGTACCGGCCTTCATTCCATGCCACTGACTGACATGTGGGATGCCCTGTCCTATTCTGGGGCCTCAGTCATTGCCCCTAGGGACCCGCTGTCTTGTGTGGAATGGGTAGCTACAGGCCAGCGATCTCTGTTCCCAGCTCAGTTCCTAGCATTCCAAAGGGGGCTGAGTCCCTCCAGCCTCAGGGCCCGGGTCAGCTGTCCTTGGGCCCTCAGGCCCTTGGATCCGGTTTTCGCTCTTCCTACTTTTGTTAATTGCGGCACTTGTGCCTGGCCCTGCTCACTGCGTAGACTTGAGCAAGTCCTTTCCCTTCCCAGAGCCTCAGCACCCTCCTGCGTGAGGAGAGGTGTGGTGCTCACCTCCAGAAGGGCTTCAGCGGGCTTGGTGTGGGAAGGGCTCCCCAGACACCAAGTCACGGCCACGCTCGCAGCTCAGAGCAGACGCTGGCTTGTGCTGCTCTGGAGATAGGAGTGGGTCGACAGGGAACTTGACCTGCAACCCAAACTGTGCTCCCATCCTGGGGTGAGTCCTGTCCCACAGCCCAGGCCTTGTCAAGGCCGTGTGGCCTCCCGTTTGCTCCATCCCCTGTCTGACATCATAGACTATTTCCTGTGTGTGTTTATGTGTGGGCACCCCCTTCCCTTCTGCGGCCCTGGGAACCTTGGGATCTTTGGGAAGAGCTGGGAGGAGAGGTCAGGTCAGTGCAGTGGTGGAACTGCTCTCCTTTAACTGGCTCCTTCCCAGACCCCCGTCCCATGCAACTCCAGTTTCTCTAAGGTCTTGTCTCACGGTCCCTTGATCCCCTCTCCTGGCCACCTCCCAGGAGCCCATCTCAGAGGTCTCTGTTATAAGTAGCACAGGCCAGATCACAGTTTAACTCACGCTACTTGACCCCCGGGCAAACCACTGAAACTGTCACGTGCCTCAGTTTCCCCATCTGTATAAGGGGTCAGTTTCCCTGGCCTACCCACGGCAGGCACAGCAACAGTTAGCAGTGCGTGGGATGCAGGAGCCCCCTGCCCGCCCTGCTGGGCCAACGTCCCAGCTCCTGCCCCTCCTCCCCGCCACCCCATTTCCTGTTGGGGCAAGGCCCCCTCCCGGGCCTCCA